GGTTTGGTTTTTGTTCATGAACTCTCTGCCTACCCCTATGTCTTCAAGATTTTTACCTACTTTCTCTTCCAATAAATTAGTGTTTCTGTTTTAATATGGAGATCTGTGATCCATTTTGACTTTAGTTTGGTGCACAGTGATAGACTTGGGTCTATTTTCAGTCCTTGGCAGGTGGTGAGCCAGTTTTTCCAGCACCATTTATTAAAAAGGCTATCGTTCTTCCAGTGGGCTTGTTTGGCCTCTTTGTCAAAGATTAGCCACCTAATTTCTGAAGTGAATTTTCACACACTGCATAAAGCTGAGGTGACCACATAGAAAACAACTGATTTTATTGTCTTTTCTTCCTAAATGGTTTGTTAAATCATCCAAATCAGGTTCACAAGTAAAGGCTATCATATAGAATTGATAGCAGAGAGAAGAAAGTCCCTCTGCCATTCATGAATATTCTTCCACTTTTTATCACAAGCAAGACTGTTTTACTTCTCTTTGATACTTTTTAAAAACATTTTATTATACAATTTCCAAGAAGCCGGGTGTGGTGGCGCACACCTGTAATCCCAGCACTTGGGAGCCTGAGGCAGGAGGATCATTGAGAGTTCAAGACCAGCCTGGGCTATGAAGTGAGCTCGATGCCAGCATGAACTGCATAGCAAGACCCTGTCTCAGAAAGACAAAAAAATTTCCAAGTATACATAAAAGTAAGCTTCAAATAGCCCCTGTGTAACAACTTCACAATTTAAGCTTTTTGACTTAAACATTTAAGAATGTAAACTCTGAAACAGAATAAAATTTAAAAATTAGAAAACAAGTTAGACTGAAGCAATTTTCATATCTAACAATTGTCATCATGAGCATCATCACAATTTCTCCTTACTTTGATAGGTCCTGTTCAGGTATCTTCTTACCTCCTTTCATTTTTGGCTTTGAAACCACAAATAATTTCCCCGTCTACTTGCCTATATTACAAGGATGTGCTATACATCAAAGTGCACAGATTAGGGTCTGGCAGGCAGCATTCGTTCCCTACAAAATATTTCTTCTCTACAGACCAAAACTGAGTGACACACACAGTCACCCTCCCTCCTCTATTCTTTGTCCTCATTCCTCCTTTCCTTCCTAATCACTGGACTGGCTTCCTTCCTGCCCCTTCCAGCAGCTACATCAGGGCTCCCAAATTCAGATGCCTAATCCCAAATGTAATCCCCTAGAAGGTCCCCAAATACTAAGGCAATAAACTGAAGCACTCAGAGTACCAGTCTCTAAATTAAAAATTAAAACCATACTCAAGGCAGTACCTGTGTATCATTTGTAAGTGTACAGAAATATCATGGTAGACACTAGATGGTAAAATATGAAACCAGAATTCCCATGCAGGTCCTTGCTTTGTGTGTGTGTCTCTGTGTGCCTGTGCTAAACTTTTCTGATGATTCAGGAAGTTTTATATGCTAATGAGATTCATTTCCTTGTAGTACTTCTCACCTATGGCAAACCTGCCACCTCTAATTTGTTTTAAAAGGAATTTTAATCACCCAATCAATCAAACTCTTGACCTTCAGCCCTCACAGCCACTTCACTATGGTCAAAACTGGCACTAAAAATTCATGTTGCAACAGCTCCGTTGTCCTCAAGCTTCAAAATGCCAGTGATAGGAATATAATTGGAGCAAATCCTCTAATGGATAAAAATAGAAAAAGTAGTACACAGAGTTTCTAATTCATCTTCTACCAAGATTCTTTAAATAAAAGTGAATAGCCATGATATCATTAAGTAAAAGCTTTTCCTCTGCTGGGTTTTGAAGACATAAATAATCCAAGCTTTTAGACAGTGAATCTAGTCTCTTTACTACAAAAATCACATGGCCCAGTTGGGGTTTAAATCACTTATCTTTTTTTTTTTTTTTTTTTTTTGGTTTTTTCTCCGGTACCGGGAACCGACCTCACGACCTTGCGCTTGCCAGGCAGGCGCTTTGCCGCTGAGCTAAATCCCCAGCCCCCTACTTATCTTTCTTTACACGGAGACAAAGAATGGCCGAGTGACCCTTCCAGCCCCAGGTCTTCCTCTCCGCTGGCACCCACTTTCCCTGCTCCATCCTGTGTCAGTGCAGAGGAAGCTTTCTTACCTAGGCCAAAGCCTCATGGCTCAGCCACTCTGCACATGAACACACCCAGCTCTCTCTCAACAAACCCAAAAAGACCTTTGCCCTCACAGTCCCAGCCACCCATAGTGGCTCTTCCATGGCCTTACCTCTCTTCCCAAGAGGACAGAGATTAGACATTTCTTGCCTTCAACTTTTGATCCATCTACCTCTACACCCAATGAATGCTAGGTTCTCACCCACTTCTGCAATGGAGCTATTTCCAGTAGCATCACCAGAGGCCTTGTACGTAGTCTCAGTCCAACAGCCACGCAGAGCCTATCTTCCTTGAACACAGTGCACCATCTGGCGTTCTCAGTCACATCCCCTTGGAAACTGTACCCTCCGTCAGTTTTCAATGGCCTCACTTCCTGCCTTCCCTCTCGGAACATTCCGTTTCCTTCCAGGATTCAAATCCATGATCAGCCCTAGCAGCCAATGACCCCAGCGTTCTACCTCTCTTCTCCCTCTTCTCATACCCTTTCTAGTCCCATCTACAAATACAATTGGCTTCAACTGCTAATTATATGTCAATGTAACATCTCTCTTCCCGATTCTAGTGTTCCTCAAGAATTTCAGTCTCCACATGCACCTATGTTTGCAGGACTTCCCTCATGGGTGTTCCTTTGGCATCTTAACATCTATTATTA